AGCAACCAGCACTTCATTCTTTTCCTCAATGTTTAAGCACCCATCATTAGGGACAAAAGCTGTGATTTTCTTTTTTTTTTTTTTTTACATTTATTAATTTATTGTGTGTGTGTGTGTGTGTGTGTGTGTGTGTGTGTGTGTGGCCAGCTCAGCCCACCAGGGGGCGGGGCGGGCTGACATGTGGTCCTGGGGGATTGAACTGCGGTCCCAGTGCTTTGCCAAGCTTGTTCCAAGTAGGTGCTTTAGACCACTGAGCCATCTCGCCAGCCCTTCACTGACAGTCTTCCTACCTCAGGCTCCCAAGTCCTAGGATGACAAGAGTGTGCCACACCCAGTTCTTTGACTTGTGCCTGGTTCTTGGAGATTTTTCAGTTATCTACAATTAATATCTAATGCTTTTAAAAATGGAAAGTATTTTTGATTTTATTTTTTTTTTGAAGAACAAATGTTCTTTTCCAGAGGGGCACACACCTGTCACCACAGCACTGGGGAAGCCGAGGCAGGAGGATCACAGGAATCAAAGCCAGTCTGAAATGCATAATGAGACCCTGACTAATAAAGGACCCTGAGGGAGGAGGAGGACCTGTGTGGATTCCTCAGCCTTGCCCCAGGGCCTGCATGAGGGTGCACAGGGGATGGGCAGCCATGTTTTGCCTAATTGGAAATTCTAGAAAGATGGGTGGCAAAGAGCTCTGAGAAAGAGCTGGAGCTTCCTGTTTTGGGGGCCCAGGCCATGGGGAGCCATTGTGTGTTCCGAGCTGTGCTGAAAGAGCAGCACCTCCAGAAAGGAGCTGGAGTGATTTCCATGGCCAGGTGGGTACCGCAGCAGGACAGCGGTCACCAGAACCCGCTGAGCTTCTGCCCTAGGACGACCTTCCTCACAAGGGCCTTGCAGACATGATGGCTGAGGCTGGTGCTGGCCCGGCTCTCCTAGGACGGAAGGCAGGAAGGCCAAGCAGCCCCGGGGGCCACCCAGGGGCCAGAGATGAAGGAGACAGGCGTCCCCGCTGTTACACTGGATGGGGTGTGTGTGTGTGTGTGTGTGACTGAGGTCTGATTTGATGTGGGGACTCCAGGCCCTGGAAGCCCAGAGGGTGCGTCTGCAGGAGAGGGCAGCCACCGAGGAAGGCTCCGCTGGGTTAGGGTGCAGTAGGTGTGGGGTAGCATGTGAATAAACCCACAGGCCACTGTGCACAGGCCGGGGGCCGGGGTTCCCACGGGGGCCTGCAAGGGGCTGCTGTCAGCCACCAGTGCGGAGCTCTCAGGCCTTGTGAGGGGAGTGGGTCATTGCACCAGGCGCCCCTGACCCCCATAGTGGGCCTTGTGAGGTCTGGTGCCCAGGGGTACAGGGGCCCCTTGGCTGTGCCCCCGAAGTATCTACAGAGATTGAGGCATGGAGCCCCCTCATTTTTCAGAGGCGCAGAGAGGCGGAGGCCTTGCAATGTTGCACAGCTGGCTCCGGAGGTGGAGTCAGAGACTGCTGCCTACCCAGCTGCCTGCCTGACACAGGGGTCTGGGCCCTGCCGCTGTGCCCACAGCACAGGAAGGTCGCAGGCCCTCCCCCAACCCCCAGCCTCACGCAGGCGACCTGTGGCAGCCAGGACAGAGCTGCACCCCAGGACCGGCTTTGGGAGGTGCAGCACCAGAGGCTCCAAACTGCAGGGCAGGAGCATACAGAGCCTAACTAAGGGGGGTCCTCCTGCATCCTTCCAGGATGCGGCGACCCAGGGGGCACCAAGGGGCCAGACAGGCAAGGAGCCAGGAAGCAGGGAGGGCACCCCAAGAAGGCTTTCTGTCCGGCAACCTGGCCCCAGCCTCTCCGCCACACTTCAAGACCAGCGGTGGAGGGCCCTGGGCTGGCGTTTCTCTCTGGGCCTCAGGCCAGCAGCGCTATTGCCCAAACGGTACTCAGTGTCCCCAGCCCTGGAGGAGGGGAAGGAGCGCAGGCCCAGGGCAGCGTCTCCGCGAAGCCTGTCCTCCAGGCCCGCTGCTCTCGGCCTCGTGCCATCTGCAGAGTGAGGGATCGGCCAGGGCCGCGCAACCGCGGGGAGGGCGGGACCTGTTGCTAGGGAAACGCCCTCACTCCCAAGGAGCCACCGTTAGCTGGGGACAAACAGAGACAGAGAGAGACAGCAGCGTGAGACCCTAGACCTGAGATGGGGCCGGAGGTGGTGTTCCGCTGTGGAGAGGACAGACCGACCACCCAGGGAGGGGCGGGCCACTAAGGGGCTCGGACGGAAACGCACCGACCAGCCTGCAGTGACAGTGGCTTCCAGGCGGGGTCACAGAGTTCACAGAGAAGGGGAGATGGGGGACCAGCCTGAGGGGGTGGGGGTGGGGCTGAGCCAGAGGGGGGTCACTGTGAAAACACAAAATTGTAACTGCAGAGTTTTTACAATCTTTCTGCATCTCCCCAGAAAATGAGTCATCGCTGTATCTCCTGCTTCTCCATCTGCTTGGGGAGATGCGGGACTCCGGGCCTCCCCACCAAACCCCCCTCTTCCCCTTCTCTTCTCCCCTCCCCTCCCCCTCCTCTCCTCCTTTTTCTCCTCCTGCACTGGGCAGGCAGAGGGACCACCATCTTGGGGTGACTGACTGGCGGCCACACTGCGTTTCATTGAGGCCAGGATTTAAAAAAAAAAAAAATGTGCTGTCCTCAGGGCAGTCTGGCACCCTCAGCTGGGCCTGGGCATCTTCCCCCAGGCCTAGGAGCCAGGGTGGGGGAAGGGCACAGGCTGGGGTGGGGAGAGCTGCAGGCCCTGGGGACCTGCCTGCAATCTCAAGCCACACCTGCTTTCCTTAGGGCTGCGGGTCTCAGTTTCCCCTTCTGTGGGTTGGGGGCAGAGCCTGCCTGCTAGGTCTTAAGGGCTTCTCTGGAGTCAGTTTGCAAGTCCCCCCTCCCCTAACTCTGGCTTCTCAGGTACAGAGGAGGAACTGAGGCGCACCTTGAGGCTGAGGCAGGAGGATCACAAGTTCAAGCCCAGCCTGGGGCAACTTAGCACCTTAGTGAGACTGGCCCCTGCATGGCTGACTCCAACTCTCCAACCACCTCTGTCCTGCAGGAGTGTGCATGGCCCTGGGGTGCAGGGCCTGGGGGTTCCCCAGCCACTTCTACTCCCCGGGAGTGGGTGGGCAAAGCCTGAGCTTCTCTGGGACCTTAGTGTCCTCCGAAGCCGCAGGCACATTGAAGGGGTGGGGGTGGGGAGTCAGGTACACAAAACCTGTGCAGAGCAAGGGGTCCCTGGCCTACAAGCCCCCTGCAGGGCTGCAGGGCAGGGCTCGGAGAAGGCAGTAACTTGCAGAGGCTGCGCAGCTGCGGGCTCCCATGGGCTCCGAATCTAACCCCAGCATCAAGCTCCAGTGCTGGCTCTTCCACAAGGACACTGTCCTGCCATCCACCCCTTGCCTCCTTCCTACTCTGGTTCAGGGTCAGCCCTCCCCAGGAGTCCCTTTGGGGATCAGGAGGGACTCAAGTGAGGGGGCTGCTGCGGGCACCGCCCATTGGCTGTGGCCCGGTCACCGTGTTCGCCACTTGCTGATGGACACTGCTCCCTAAGTGTCAGAGCAGGGCTGCTTTCCACGTTCCTTCAGCTCTCCCCCCCCCCCTGCATAGCACAGCTGGGAGGTGCTGGGGTCAGCCCAGCCCCACAGTCGCCCCCAGTCCTGCCCAAGGTAAAACCCTAACACCCACCAGAGTCACGCCGGGTGAGGTATGTTGGCGACTCCTTGACCTCTGCAACTGGAACATTCAAAGTAACTTTCATTTATTTACTCAGTTTACAATGAGATGCACATTTTCTTCAGAAATGAATGTGACAGGGGCCAGGGAAATGGCTCAGTGGTTTAAGTGCCTGCCTGGCAAGCACAAGGCCTGAGTTTGATCCCTGTTACCACCAAAAGAAAAAGAGTGACAGAGACCAAAAAAAGAAAGGGATGCTGAGCATGGTGGTGCCCGCCTATCATCCCAGCGCTCGGGAGGCTGAGGCAGGAGGATCATCATGAGTTCGAGTTCAAGGCCAGCCTGTGCTGTGGTACCTAGTGAGTTGAAGGCCAGTCAGAACCGCATAGTGAAACCCTGCCTCAAAACACCAAAAAAGAAACAAAATCCAAAGTGGCAAGATAAAATTGTTTTTTCTTTCTTCTTCTTCTTCTTCTTCTTCTTCTTCTTCTTCTTCTTCTTCTTCTTCTTCTTCTTCTTCTTCTTCTT